GGGGGGGGGGGGGGGGGGGGGGGGGGGGGGGGGGGGGGGGGGGGGGGGGGGGGGGGGGCGCACAAGTTCGAGCGCGAGAAGTTACATATGTTCTCTGTGTTGATTGATATTTCTCAAGCGTGTAATTTTATTTTGTTTTTTTGCAAGATCATGAAGAACGTGGTGAGAACTGTGTACCTATTTTTTTTGTTTGGTAGATCGTGTTTATCTTGTCTCAGCCGATATCTGTTTTGCGATTTTTTGGGATCATTTGTGCTTTCCCGTGTGTTTTGTGTCGTGCGTGATCACGAACAAGAACGCTACTTTTCTCGTGTGACGCTGCTCTGTTCCCTCGGCAAGCGTGCCGTCAGCCACGGACACGTACAAGAATGTACTTCTATTTTCACAGCAAATTTTGACGAGAATTACAAGGATGAAGCGTTGATAAAAATGTCAGGTGGACTCACGTCGACATGCCCGGAGCCACAACCGATACCACGTGGTCCAAGGAAGAGGACTTGGCCATCATGGTGCAGGCCGATGAACGGGGCGCCAGAGAGTGGGTCAAGGTGCGTTCATGGTTGTTTGTTGGTCTGTAGTAGTAGTAGTAGTAGTCGTAGTAGTTGTTGTTGTTGTCGGTGCTGACAGACGCAGAACCAGAACTCAAGAACGCAGCTTGAAGTAGAAGAACGCCTCTGGCGGTTGCAGTCCAGTCGGGCCAAAGCCAACATCAACAACCCGCACGCACGCACGCTTGAAGACCAGCCATCAACGACAACTCCAAAACAACGGCGAATGTACGTATTAGCAAAATAGGGGGACGCTGGGACACTGCCCTTCGGGTGGATGGGTGGAGTGAGAAATAATCGGCCGTCATCACCACCGCGTTTTGCACAACAGATTGGAGGAGGTATATCTACTACCGTGCAAAGCAGTATCGCTGGGGGTCCCTTAATCCCTTAGCCGAGAAAGTATTTCGTGCCTATATTACTCTCTTAAGTGCGCCAAAAGTCTTTGTTGTAAAGAGATAGGAACACCCTTTTGAGGAAGGCCTTTTCTTTTCCATTCATGTCACAACTGTTTTTTTTTTTAAGAGAAGATAAGACCAAAAATACCGCCGTGTTTGTTGGCAAGGGGTATCGACGAAGCCCAAGCTACAAAAGGAGCACCACCAGCACACAACCACACATCATATTGCGGCTGGTGGACAAGCTCACGTCGCATATCCTCAACCCACGAGGAAGATATGGTTTTGCGAATCACCGGATATCGGGTACCGAATAAGCACCGCGGCATTTTTTTTTTACTGCAATACGGCATGGTACGCTGGGAATCCCCCAGTTTGCCTTTGACCCTTTGACAACGCCTTATTTTTGGGGACGTCGGGTTAATGTTTCAACCAAAGCGCTTAACTTTTCTTGCGAGTGTAGTCCTTCTTCACAGCTGCTGCATCGACGATATTCACTCATGGACACGTGTCCACGAAAAAACCCGTGTACTTCCGTATCGCTGCACGAACCTCAGATCGCAGAGGAGGTGCGCAAGGTCAACGGGGGCCTGAAGCAACGGTCGGCCATCAACTGTCTCAGGAGATACCAGGCCACCCTCAACACCAAGCTCGTGAATTGGAACAGGTGGAGCCCAGAAGAGGACGAACTGCTGCACGATGCCATCAAGGTAAAGGGGGGTTCGGGTGTGGGATTGAGGCGGGAGGTGTACTCATGGTGTACTCATAGTCGTGCATGCGGTGGTATTTAGACCATTGACCGTGCATCCCTACAAAGCCGGGGCGGAGAAGGGGGGGGGGGGGGGGG